AGAAAGTGAGCTTCTGATAAAAAAGGCTGAGGAGGAAAAAGACAGTATTTTAAAAGCCAGAAATGTGTGCAAGAGTTCATTTGTGTATGATCAAGTTAGTTAAAGCAGTAGCTGCAATTGTTTGAGAAAATGCAGAGCACATATTGAAGTGTGAGGAAGTAGGAATTTGGGCAGGTCTATTTACGTATGCAATAGCCAAAATTCTTTTCTCATTCCCTCAAATTGGTAAATCACATGGGACCCTGCTTCTTGAAATTTCAGTCCTAAGATAATGGAGAATGAAATACTTATTTTGTTTCAGCTTCCTGGCTTCTTACAAGAGAGGCAAGCCAGATTTTTCTTGAGATTTCTTAGACATGAGAAATCATGGGCTTGCTTTGAACCTAAGATTTCCTTTACAATCCACATGCCACTTTCCGAAACTGGAAAATGCACAACTTAGAGTCCAGAGACCTAAGTTTCAGTATTGAAATGTGACCAATAATTCATATTTAGAGCTCAAATTTTTAAAATTCATTCCTTGGAATTTAGTCATTCAAAACCTTCATAGAAAGGTAATTATGCAATCTACCATTCACCCATCTATCCATCCAACAATAAAAAAGAAAATTTGACTTCAGTAAATGTACAATCCAGTGGGTGAAGGAATAAACTAGTGAATTCATTATGATTGTGATAAATTTATTTTTAAAAAGACAACAAGAGACAAAAACTGTAACATGAGAACCTAACTTTGTCTGTAGGCTAGAGCTAGAAATCAGTGAAGTTTTCTTTAAAGAAAAGACATTTAAGCCTATATTTGAAGGGTGAGTAGGCAGAAACTAGAGGAAGAGTCACATATAATAGTGGAGAAGGGCAGCTTATGTCTAGGAAGAGAGGCAGGAAGACAGGCTAGAAAGATGAGCCATGTCGGAGATAATGATGTCAGGGATAATGATGTCTGAGGTCTGAATCCAGTTACTCGGGCCATGTGGAAAGGAAGTCAGCAGGCCTCTGACATGATCAGATTTGCATTTTTAAAGAATCTCTAATGACATCTAAATTCAAAATGCACATAAAAACTGAGAGGATACATTCAGAGAAGATAAAATAATAATTTAAAATTCCCATCCTTATTCAGTTTCTAAAAAAGAAAAAAAAATACAGATTTTACCATTTCATGACAACACATACTGTGATTATAATTTTACCACTTACAGTGTGCATCGCTCGGTTCTGCACATAAGGAAAATATTCTTCATTTTAAGCAGGCTCAACATGAGCAGAGAAGATACAGATGAGAGAAATGAACAGCCCAATCTTTATGTCATGAGCTAAATTGTGTCCCATGCTCAAATTCACAGGATGAAATCCTCACCCTTTACAGGATGTGACTGCATTTAGAGACAGGGCCTTTAAAGGAGTCCTTAAATTAACATGAGGTCAGATGGGTGGGTCCTAACCCAATCTCTACTTAAGAGGAGATTAGGACTCAAAGCAAAGGCCAGCTGAAGACACAGGGAGAAGAAGGCCAACTATAAAACAAGGAGGAGAAACCAGACCTGCTGACATCATTATCTTGGATTTCTAGCCTCTAGAATTGTGAGAAAATGTATTTATTTTGTCTAAGCCACCCAGTCTGTTTGTATTTTGTCCTGGCAGCCCTAACAAACTAATATACTTAGTGCAAAAAAAAAAAAAAAATCCTTTGTTAAAAAAAATCACCATAGATATTCTTAGAAAGTATGTTCTGTTGATTTGAAAAATGTTCATTTCTCAGCAGGAGTACAAATGAAGGAGAAATTAATTTTCTAAATAGAGTTTTTTGGGGTGTGTGAGGTGGGGGTGAACCAAAGGAATGTGCTTGCTGTGTGAAGCATAACAGTGATTACAGTGAACTCCCACACTGGTCAGACTTCCAACTGCAGGTCGTGCACTATCCAAGAATGACTACATTGGCAAAGCAGAGCTAATCACACCACTTCTGCTTTGACCATGAAAACCAACAGTTAACAGTGTTCTGAAAACTGAAATGTTTCATGCATACATTCAAGTCAGGGAGACTTTCCTCATTTTGCCCAATTCTCTTCAAAATGATCAAACAAGTACCTTGCATACATCTACTGGTCTGCTATGTGTAGAACACTGAGGAATATAAAGAATTTAAAGGCATGGTCCATGACCTCTGGGAAGTCAAGACAGAAATCAATTAACATTTACATTTACAATTTGCTATCTTTCTTTTTTTTTTTTAACTTTTTATTGATTTCAGAGAGAAGGGATAGGGAGAGAGAGATAGACACATCAATGATGAGAGAGAATCATTGATTGGTTGCCTCCTACATGCCCACATTGGGGATTGAACCTGCAACCCGGGCATGCGCCCCGACCTGGAATCAAACCGTGACCTCCTGGTTCATAGGTCAATCCTCAACCACTGAGCCATGCTGGCCAGGCTGCTATCTTTCTTTAAAAATATATATATTATTGACAGTATTGCAAATATCTCCCATTTTGCTTGTCTCCACCTGGCCCCCATCCCACCCCAGGCCTTCACCACACTATTGTACGTGTCCATGGGCTACGCATATAAGTACATATGTCCTTTGATTAATCTCTTCCTGTCCCCCCACAGCCCTCCCTCCTGAGATCTGTGAGTCTGTTCCATGCATTCATGCTTCTGGGCGTATTTTGTTTGTCAGTTTATTTAGTTCATTAGATTCCACATGTATGTGAGATCATGTGATATTTGTCCATACTACCCAAAGCAATTTATAGATTGAATGCAATCCCTATTAAAATACCAATGGCATACTTCACAGATTTAGAACAAATATTCTAAGAATTTATATGGAACCAAAAAAGACCCTGAATATCCTTGGCAATATTGAGAAAGATGAACAAAGTAGGAGGGATCATAATATCAGATAACAAACTATACTACAAAATCATTGTAATAAAAACTGCCTGATATTGGCATAAGAAAGGGATATAGACTAATGGAAAGAACAGAGAACCCAGAAATTAACCCATACCATATGGTCAACTAATATTTGATAAAGGAGGCAAGAGCATACAATGGAATAGAGATAGTCTCTTCAATAAATGGTGCTTGAAAACTGGCCAGGTACGTGCAAATAAATGAAACTAGACCACCAACTTACACTATACACAAAAATAAAATCAAGATGGATAAAAGACTTAAATGTAACTTGCAAAATCATAAAAATCCTAGAAGAAACCTAGGCAGCAAAATCTCAGATATCTCACATAGCAGTATTTTCATCAATACATCTCCTAGGACAAGAGAAGCAAAGGAAAAAATAAACAATACATCTCCTAGGACAAAGGAAAAAATAAACAAATGGGACTACATCAAACTAAAAAGCTTCTGAACAGCAAAGGAAACCATCAGCAAAATGAAAAGGGAACCCACTGCCTGGCCAGTGTGGCTCAGTAGTTGACATTGACCGATGAACTGAGAGGTCACGGTTCGATTCCCAGTCAGGGCTCATGCCTGGATTGCATACTAGATCCCCAGTAGGGGTTGTGTATGAGGCAGCCAATCAATGATTATCTGTCATCATTGATGTTTCTTTCTCCCTGTTTCTTTCTTTCTCTCTCTCTCTCTCTCTCTCTCTCTCTCTCTCTCTCTCTCTCCACCTTCTTCTCTCTGAAATCAATTAAAACACATTACAAAAAGAAAAAGAAATAGGAACCAACTGTATGGGAGACCATATTTGCTAATGATACATCTGATAAGGGGTTAATTTCCAAAATATAAAAAGAACTCATATAATTCAACACTAGGAACAGAAACCATCCAATTAAAAAATAGACAAAGGACTTGAGTAGACATTACCAACAGATGTATGAAAAAAATGTTCAACATCACGAATCATCAGAGAGATGCCAACAAGGTTGGGGGGGACATTAACTGGGGAACTTCTATGCATATAGTCATAGCCCATGGACACAGATAATAGTGTGGTGAAGCCCTGGGTGTGTGAGGGGTGGCAGGGGTTGATGGAAAAAAAATGGGGACATCTGTAATACTTTCAACAATAAAGATTTTTTAAAAACCCTACCATGTGCTATCTTTCAAAGTGGGTTAACAGGGGTTGATTTGGAATGGTTTGCCAAGTGATGGCAGGGTTCATCATAGTGGACACTCCTGTCTACAATGGACTGACTTTCAGATGACACTAACATCCATCCATTCATCCATGTGAAGTCAGCCAGAGACATACACGCACCAAGACCTGGAGACTCAGCTTTTCCTTTTCTTGTGTGTGGTTGAGCAGTTTCTTCTTCTCTGTGGTTTCTTTAGCTTTGTTTTTCATGAAAGCACAGCAGGTACAACCATCTTAATTCTGTTCCTGGCTAAGACCCTCTTTTATGAACATTCCCTTAAAGTTAAGTAAAAACTAGTCTTTCTTTAAGACAATGACAAAAATGCAATCTGCCTTTTTGTTTCTGTGTAAAACATCAAAGAATACACAGCCAGGGCCTCTGAAGTGCAAATGCCCTCTTGACCTCCTCTTACAGTTTTGTGTTCCCTGACTTCCCAACAAGTCCTATTTCTCTGTATCTTTCTTCTCTTCTTTCTTCTGCTGACTGAGAAACGCTATCATCTCATTCTTTGGAAATCAATGCAAAACCATCTGGATGCTTCGTTCACCACATGGCTCCTTAGCTTTGGGGTACTGGGCATTTATTATCCCCAACAGAAATTGGCAGCATCTGATTTTGTTGAACTTTAGCCATAGAGATGCTTGGGAACTCAGTATGCATATCATTATGACTCCAGACACATATAAACATTCGATGTACATATTTTAGAAAGCACAACCTATTTATAATTACACTGGGATTCTCTGTCTTGAAGCAAAAATACATAGAATGAGTTTGATAAACTGCTTTTAAAATTTCTATTGCTTTGGGCCCTAGTGCTAGAAAGGCCCTGGAATTAAGAGGAAATGAGGAGCAAAGATAAATAATATACAAAGCAATTGTTTTACCTGGCAAAGCCAACGCCTCGGCTGACTCCGTTAGCATCTCTTAGTATTCTTGTAGAAATGACGTGTCCAAAGGGTTTCAGCATATTCTCAAGTTCCTGCTCATCCATGGAAATGGGGAGATTTGAGATGTATAGGTTTGTTGGGTCTTGCTCTTGTTGCTAAGGAAGGAAAGAAACAAATGCAGTAAGTTCTAAATATTGAGAAAATGACTGCACAAATGGATAAACTTTTGATTAAACGGTAAACTGGACTCTACTTCAGCATGGTCTTGAAATTTCTTTCACTAAGGGAATTAATTGCTTTTCTTCACTGAATTCCTTTCTTGCCAGAATGTTTTCTATAGAACAGTGGTTCTCAACCTTCCTAATGCTGCGACCCTTTAATACCGTTCCTCATGTTGTGGTGACCCCCAACCATAAAATTATTTTCGTTGCTACTTCATAACTGTAATTTTGCTACTGTTATGAATTGTAATGTAAATATCTGATATGCAGGATGTATTTAGGCGACACCTGTGAAAGGGCTGTTCAACCCCCAAAGGGGTCACGACCCACAGGTTGAGAACCGCCGTTATAGAAACAATATCATCAATGAAAAGCAACCTTTCTGTCCAGCCTTCCTTAAAAAAGACTAATGAACTTTTATTGCAATTGAACTAAGGTAAATAAGTAAATTCTTTTTTATTACTATTAACTATTACTTTTACTGTTACCACTCTAATTACCATCACTTCTAGTTGCATTTACCAAGTTCTTATAATATTTTAGGCATTGTTTTAAACTCTTATAATATGCATTATTTCATTCAATATTCTCTCTCTCTCTCTCTCTCTCTCTCTCTATATATATATATATATATATATAATATTACTATTTTAAAAATATATTTTCATTGATTTCAGAGAGGAAGGGAAAGAGAGAGAAGCATCTATGATGAGAGAGAATCATTGACTGGCTTCCTCGTGCATGCCCCACACTGGGGATCAAGCCCACAACTCTGGTCTGTGCCTTGATGGGGGAATCAAATCGTGACCTCCTCATTCATGGGTCAACGCCCAACCACTGAGCAACACCGGCCAGGCAATTGTTAGTATGACAAAACTGATCCCTACCTTGTCCAAGTTACAAAGCTAGTAAGTATGAAAGCCAGGGCTGAAATCTGGGGGTATCGCTTAAGTTCTTGAGCTTCACTGTCCTGCTCTACTCCTTGCACCAGACCAATGAGGATAAACGCATGGTCACAGAGTAGCATTATCAGCTTCAGCATCTATGCAGGAATTGCCAAAAGTGCCAAATCTCAGGCCCCACCCAGAACTACTAAATCAGAAACTTGAGGGTGAGCCAAGTAGTCTGCATTTTGAAAAGTCTTTCAGGTGATTGTGATGACTACTCAAGTTTGGGAATCGCTGCCCTAGACCATCCATGAATATTTATATGCAAATGAATTGTGATGCCCATCATTTTCGAATCCAGCAACAATAGTGTTTAAATAAGTTTTGCTTAATAGAATGGGGAACCAAACAACTGTTAGCATTATTTCTATGTACATGAATGTTCTCTTTCACATAATGAATTAATAAATTGGAACTTAGTTGTATGTATGTCTCAAAATAACCTGACATAATTAGTTATTAACATTAAAATATATGTTATTTCATTGAACCATTATATTTTAACTAAAACAACAACCTTAACTTCAAGAATAAGTGAGATTAAATAATAAAAGAGAAATTCTGAAGTCTATAGAAAATGACATTACATAACAGTAAAATATCTTTTGTTAAAACTTGGTATCATATGTTGCAGAGAATTTGATATTGTATAAAATTTAATGTTTTAATCACAAGGAAAAACACAATAAGCAAGATTCCAAATATTATTTAAGGTCAAGTAACAATTCTGGTATGAAACTAAAATCCACTATTTTTAAAACAGCTCTAAATATTCAGATAGTCCATAATATTTTTAGTAAGCTTTAATATTAATAAGATCTATTATTAGGTTCATCTTTTATTTTTATTGATTTCAGAGAGGAAGGGAGAGGGAGAGAGAGAGAGAAACATCAATGATGAGAGAGAATCATGGATCGACTGCCTCCCCGACATCCCCTAAGAGGGATCAGGCCCACAGTCCTAACTGTGACCTCCTGGTTCATAAGTCAACAACTGAACCACACCAGCTGGGCATAGGTTCATTTTTAAACATAGGTTAGTTTTCAAATATTTATTTATCACCACGGAAAATAGTAAAAATAAACATATAATCAATCAGAAAAAGACAGTACAACTTCAGTATTTAGCAACAGTATAAATGTAGACAATATTCAACTATAATCTCTTTCTCTCTCTCTCTGTCCACACACACACACACACACACTAAGTGGTATGATCATAGAAAGAAAACAGAGATAATATTATCCTTCCCTCCTTTCCTAAATTATAATGACCATGGTTTGGTTTTTGTGGGATTTTTTGGCTGGGATGGTGAAAAAAAAAAAGAAAAGAAAAAGTGGTGTTTTAGTCCTAGCCCCGTGGTCAGCAAACTGCGGCTCGCGAGCCACATGCGGCTCTTTCGCGCCTTGAGTGTGGCTCTTCCTAAGCCTTAGGAGTACCCTAATTAAGTTAATAACAATGTACCTACCTATATAGTTTAAGTTAAAAAAATTGGCTCTCAAAAGAAATTTCAATCGTTGTACTGTTGATATTTGGCTCTGTTGACTAATGAGTTTGCCGACCACTGTCCTAGCCTGTTTTTCTCAGTGGATAGAGCGTCAGCCTGGGGACTAAAGAGTCCAGGGTTTGAAAGAATTTAGTCAAGGCACATGCCCAGGTTGCTGGCTCAATTCTCAGTAGGGAGCATGCAGGAGGCAGCCGATCAATGATTCTCTCCCATCGTTGATATTTCTCTCTCTACCTCTCCCTTCCTCTCTGAAATCAATAAAAATATATATATTTTTAAAAGTGGTGTTTCAGATACATAATAATGAACCTCATGCACATACAACTTACAGACTTCACTACCCAGCATTTATTTTTAATCTTCACCATGTTACTCCAACGGTAGCTGGGCAACTATCATTATATTAATTGGGCTATGAGGAAATAGAAGCATGAGAGATTCATCATTATTTCCCAGGACAATCCAATAATTAGTGACAAAGTTAGAAGCAGATTTAGCAACCAAGTTTCCTATCTGCCACTCAGTGTACTTTCCACTAGCCCAATGTTTCCCAAGCTTCATTCATTTGCATATCATTTTAGAACATTCTGCTAGTGACGTGATATTATTTTATTTACATAAAAAGTTTTTTTAATCTCAACATACCTTTGGGTATAAATAAATTTATTTCAAAATATAAGTTGATGTCGGTACCATAACTTTGCATAGATTACTGTAAAAATAGGGAACAAATCAATGTTATTAAATCATGTCCATGATATTTGTTTGCAGAAGATTTTGACCCCAGTGATTGACTCCTTCTCAGTAACAAATGAGATTTGTAATTAAAAGATGTGTCAGAAGCACATGAGCACCAGATTCTTTATTTTCCTGGGAAAAATAATACTTGAGAAAGAAATAAAAAAAAAACACTTTCTTACGATCTGATTTTTGGACCCTACACACTTATATCAACTCAAGTTTCCATGAGAGACAGATACATGTCCCACAACTTGGGAATTCCTGCCTTAACCCAGAGCTTCCAGAAGAGCAGGCTGCAACATGTGGTGGTGCCATGAATAGAATGAAATTTGCCCAACATTTTGCTCTCCTGTGTCCTTGATCAGGCTAAATAATCATAAGCAACCAACAACACTATACAGAGTACTGTACGGATCTTTTCATTTTCTGTAGGCAGAAGTGCACCAATTTGTCCTGATTAAAATCCATTTCTAAATTCCCCAAGTGTAGAATGCACTGCAGCAAATGGTGTGCAATAAACATGCAGAACCTGGTACATAAGGGATCGCCCGGAAAGCTATGTTCTGAATCCAAATTCAAACGGTAAGGCCAACTCATTAATTTGTGTTTAGAGAGACAATAAGGCATTGGACAGTGTCATTCCTTAATTTGTATTCACAGAAAGAATATGGTGTTGGACAGTGTTATTTGTTAAGAAATTCTGTCCTTTGAAATGCAGTATTCATCTTGAATATATTTGTTGACTTGAGCATAGATCTTAATTTCTGCATAGAAGGAACTTTTGAATAATACATACATTCATATTTTTACTTTCAATTTTATTTATGTATCGGGTGTATATAAATAGATGCTGACTTAAAAGATTCTTTGGCACCATGTACCAAAGAGCACTTTCCTCTGAACTTTTCAGTGATCACTGCAATCTTAAAGAACTTTTAAAAAATATTTTTACCTTAAATGTTTATGATCATTTAGCTCCAGAATGGGTCTATGAGGGCATTTTAACCAATCTGATCATTTCACAGAGAGAACGAAACACAAGCTAGAGGAGTGGGTATGATTTGCTCAAGGTTGTCCAGCTAATTAGTAACACATGAGAAATAGAACTCACGTCCTTTATACCTGGTCCAATGTTCTTACCAATTCGTGGCACTGCCTCTGCTCATAAAATCCAATGACCAGTAGACAGCATTTTGTGATTCAAAGGAATATTAATACAGACAGAAAGAAATATCTTTGAAGTCTATGTTTTAGTCACTCGGGCTTATTCATCAATTGGCTTTAGTTACAGAGCTAAGGCTATGGAAAAATAATAAAAAGAGTTCCTAGCCAGCATCTCCTAGATAGTCACCGAATGAATACTTTACAGCATATACTCGTTTGTAAAAGTATTATGACTGCAATTTATACATCTATTACATTTAATTGACCCCATAAGTAATTGATACCATAATTTCCCCATTTTAGGCTATTTCCACATAATTTTCATCTGTACTGAAATTTCTTGATTTATTACTTAGTTTTCTCAAAAGATGGTGAAAAAGTTAGAAAAATACCATCTCCATTGTTAATGAGAACAGACACAAGTCATTTCACTCAAGAATATGTAAAGTTCTTTTCCGGAAATGACTTCACTTTTCTTGGATTTTTTTGTGTATGCAAACTGCTAAAATAAGATTTATTAGCACTCATTTGCTTTTTAACACTTTAAAACAACTTTAGAATTTCAAACATTCCAA